ATATATCTTATTAACCAAGCGCGAGGGCCGTACTGGGAGAATATCGGCCCGAGGTCTTGACAGTACGGACCGAGCGCAGCGAGGTCCGTACAAAAAAGACCGAGGGCCGATATTCTTCCAGTACGGTCCCGAGCAAGCTTGGTTAATAAGAGATTTATTATACGACTGAAGTTCAAAGGGACACAAGTGCGGTATCATTCGGGACCATTCGGGACAGTGCCCGGTCCAATACTTAGAGAATATTGACCGGCAATAGAGCATTTTGATTGGTTGATTTTAGTTATTGGCCCTCTGACTGCCCGAGTCGTGTAATAAACATCGTTACAAGTCCAGGTTACAAGTGTCCGACTTGTAATAACAGGTGTAGCGCTACAAGTGTAAAAGATGGTAAGTATCCAATTTAATAAAACTTTTACAAGAGTCCGACTTGTATTTTTACAAGAGTCCGACTTGTAAATCATAAGTGCAAAATACATGTCGCATGTCACTTGTAAACATTGAGTACTTCTTCTGAAAAAGAACATTGGAGCGTCACAGTATGTCATCTTCTTGGGAAGAGGAACTCAACGAACTGCTAAGACGTGAAGATATTCGTCGACCTAGGAATTTCCAAAACAGACGGCTTTTCGACATCGAAAATCCAAGGGAATTTTGAGAGAAGTTTCGTCTGCCTCTGGACGCCTTCGTCCACCTTTTGGAATTAATAGGCCAGCGCTTGGAGCACAAAACGAGATTTAACAGAGCACTTACGGCAAGACAGTAACTTTTAGTATATCTCCACTTCCTTGGAACAAATTCCTTCTATCACGTAATGCACTCTTGTCATGGTATCTCCACATCAACAGTATGGCATATCCTTCATCGCGTTCTTCCTGCAATACTAAGCTTGAAGCGGGAGTTCACACGATGGCCTGGCCAGCCTCAAAGTATCGCCGCTAAATTCAGATACATCGCAGGCTTTCCGTGTGTCGCAGGATGCGTCGATGGAACTCACGTTCAAGTGAACCCACCTCACAATGATGAAGACACCTCCGTCAACCGCTATCATTCCAAATCTCTGAATGTCGCCATGGTATCAGGCCCAGATTACACATTCCACTTCTGTAGCAGTCGATGCGCTGGAAGGTGGCATGATTCACTAGTGATTAAAGAAAGCTCTCTGTGGACCGCCTTTGAGCAACAGGGTAATAGACCATTCCAGGAGCAGTTATTCTAGGCGACTCTACCTACGACTGTAACAATTGGCTGATCCCCCCTTTCAGAGGAGACGTAGAAGGGGCTCGCCGCAGGTTTAATGAGGCGCATAAGAAAACTCGATGCACTATCGAGAGGGCATTTGGCGTTCTCAAGAGAAGGTTTTACGCTCTCCAGACGGGTATGAGAGTGAAAACATGACAAGAGCTGCCGAGCTTGTCCAATGTGCTCTTATATTGCACAACTTCTGCATCCTATTCAGCGATAATGGCCATGATCTGCTAGAAGGTGCAGATCTCGACAATGTCCACGATGAGTTGGACATCGGTCCTGGAGAGGAACAAGAGGACAGAAGGCGGTAGGTGCTGAAGCACTTCCTATACATGTGTGGACTTATACAAACGAAGCTGAATTGAAAACTGCCACTGTTTCAATATTGTGCCAAGTAAATGATCCATTTTTTATTCAGTGGCGATAATCATTACGTTTTATTGCACAAAGTACACTTACAGCTAACTTCCAAAGGAAAAAGTGAGTGTACATGTAGGTCATAATTCTGATATCGCCCATCACCAATTTACAGTATTCCTCAGACTATCACTAGCATTACAATATAATAAGTTCGGCAAATGTCGAAAGGCTACTTATATAATCATTTTAAATTACATTTTGGACGCCGTTTAATAAATTAATTTTGAAGACCCTTTCTCAGATTTTTTATCTCCAATCTCAGCGTAACGTTTTCTAGATGGAGCTTCCTCTTTCTAAGTCGCAGTATGTCGTCCTCTGTTGTCTTCTTTTCTGCAGCTGATGGTTTCCCTTTAGCCCTGAGAGCACCTTTCTTTCCAGCTAATAGCAGAGCTTGGCGTCTAATTTTTGTTGGGGTTGGTGTTTCGGCGACTGCCTGCTTGGGTAACATTTGTGGTGAGCCGGCACCACTACGTCCACTTACTTCTTCCGTTTCACCAATCCCAGTTTCTGCGGTAGAAACTTGCACTTCCTAAGTGTAACTTTCAACGCCACCTAGTGCAAAGAAATTGAACAAAACGATAACTTCATCATATGTTGGGTTAAAAGTCGCTCCGGTTTGTCCGCGTCGGGGAAGGAAAAGTGTCGCAGGGTGGGGTTTAGGGTTTCAGGATCTAAGATGAAGTACCTCTTCCGAAACGGCTTTAAGAGCTGAGTTGGTTCATAAAACTTTTACTCTAGTATGGCATCATACAATAGTTCCTCCCCCTTTTGAAAACGCATTAAAAAGAATTCTCATTTCATTACGAACAAGGCACGCACGTTTAAAATGGTTGAAACATTTAAAAATGGGTTATAATTATTTTACCTTCAACGCTACGAGTTGTTGTGACAACGATCTCCTCTCCAAATACAATATCTGAATCGTCGACTTTCACGGGCTCTATGTTTGTACTTTCGCGGCCTAAAACATCGAGGAAAGTTTCGTCTAGCTCGGTGAGCTGTCCACTTCCCCCTACACCAGTCTCCTTAGATTCGCTAACTTATTTTGAGTGTAGCCCTGCGAATAGTGGCCCATAAAACATCAAGCGTTTTGGCGCTGTCTATCTTTGCGCGAACGCCGTTTACTTTCTTCGTCACTGTCGACGAAATTGGTGCCAAAACTATCATTTTATGTTCCGTCACAAGGTGAGCCAAAAGCAACTTTTGCTGTTTGGATAATATGCTCAACGGCTGTTTAGGAGTAAAGCTGAAAGCAAAGGAAGCAAAGGAAGCAAAGCCGCATGTATCGAAAGGACAGCAGCGACTTTTAATTGCATATGTAAAAAGTCACTTACTACAATCGAGCGGAGTTTACAGTTGTAAGAAGGTCTCAGTGGGGTTAACCCTCCTATAATTCTAGAATTGTAATTTACAATTGTGCACTGACTCGAGATACACGTGTAAATTCCAGTGTGGTATGTTGTTTTATTAAATCCTTGTATTTACAAGTCGGACTTTACCCATGTAAATTACACGTGTAAAAGCTACAAGTGTATTTTCTTTATTAAATTGACCCCTGGCTAAACAGTGGAGATGAGCGTAAGCAATTCTGAATAATATTAAATGAATGAAAATTGACCAGAAGTTCGACTGAACTTAACGATAACCTCCGTTCACTCACTCAGTTGAGTCCAGTCCAAGCAGACTGTATGGAAACTACGTTGTCCGATAACATTTTTTCGTTTTCACTCTTTTGTCTTATTCACACTGTTTACTGCACAACAAATTCTCCACATTTCACATGGTTTCTTTAAATTTCTTTTCCCTCAATTGTTACTAACAGTTGTTTATTTTCTATCTTTCTTATATACAGGAACAAATTTGTTCACTAGCAAATCAGGGTCTGGCGGTGGAGCTATTGAACTGATTGCAAACGATGGAACATTAACCCTAAGTAAGAAATAATCACCTTTCTACATCACGATGTGATAATATTTTCTGGAACTAAGCTTTGATCTTGGAATTCCATAACAAACGCTGAATTATTCAGTAGCAGTCGGGCTCGCACATCAAAATGCAACCTGAATGCACCTTTCAATAGAGAAACCTTTCGTCATCCCGAAAGTTAACAAAGACGAGCTTTAGCTTGATTAGAATTTAAAATTTGTCAAAAAGACCACAATTTTCTCTGTTGTGATGGATTTGCATCGGTAATTAGCAAGGGTAGCGCCAAACGTTGTTGAATAATCTGGAAAAATTCTCTGGTCAAGACTTACAATAATTTTTTTTCATTTTCCTGAAGTTCGAGCCATCACAAAAAGGCGGAAATAACTCCGTGGTCTCGTCTACTTAAAATTTTTATAAATTTCTCTTTTATCACTTTTCCGAAAGTTACTCTTTCACGGAAAATTAACGGGCTTTTTTTGTTATCATTATTGTTATCACTATTACTGTTATTATTATTATTTTTAACTACTTTGGATTTCGGACTTTTCTGGCTAAGGTCTGTCAATCCATCTTAGTTGTCAGAATTTCTAATGTTTATCATCAGCTATCGTCGGTTTTAAATACAGGCGGATGAAAGCTCAGAGTAGGCCTTTCGAGTTTAGCGTTTGAGAGGCTCTGGAAAAATTATGTCATCTCACAAGTGGCTTACTGATAATTCTGAGAATTTTAGGAACATTCGTGATCAATCTCTGAACTTTGTCATTTTAACTTCGTAACTCTCGTTGCCCAATTCGCACCGACAGGAATTAATATGGTACAAGTTTGACAAGAGTTGGTCTATATAATGGTCATGCTATTCTCAAGCTGTGACAAATGATATGAGTTAAGAGGTTAAGTAAGGCCGGGGGTTTAGTATTATCGAAGAAATTAACGGTTAATAATAAATTTGTTGAACTCATTTGTAATCGGAGTTAATCCTTTCCATTCCTCGCCATCCCCATTTTTTAAATATCTTCCTACCTGTCTGGTTTCTTTTTTTTTTTTTTTCTAAATCACCCGACACTTGTTTCAAGGTTTATCTTTATTTTAGAGATGATTCTCCGACGTCCGATGACGTCCGCGCAGCGGGGGTCCGATTTGTTTATCAGGAGTATGATTACAAACCAAAGTCTTATTACCTATTAATCATAAATAGTACAATTTCTGAGAAAAGTAGAATAGCCAAGTTATGAAAGAAAGGGAAAATTTGCATTAAAATCTGACAAAGGAGGCGTTAATTGTTTAACAAGGCTCTGAAATTGAATACAATCAAAATTTGAATGTGATTGGTTGATTTAAACTGCAACTTTGAATTTGACTGGATTGTTGAAATATCTAATAAGAAACCGCTGTCCGATAAGAACTTGCCAAGTGAATTAGTGCAAAATTGAGAGTTTTTTACACCAATCAGAATCAAAGAAATTGTAATGTTTATGATGAGCATGCGAACAGGACTCTCTTTTTCCAGATGCTGCAATTAAGGCTGACGGTTACTCGAGTGGGAACACGAGTGATGATCACTGTGCAGGTGGCAGTTCAGGAGGATTGATACGACTACAGGGAGATAGGGTAAATGCGAAAAAAAAAAAAAAACCAAACAACAACAACAACAACAACAACAACAAAAAACAAGATGATCTTGAAATGTCCTTGTGCTAGGTGGACGAAACTGATACATGCAACATGATTAATGGAAAGTGTTTTTTGCCTAATAGATGCAGAAATCTTTCCGTAAATGATCAGTAATGGCTACTGACTTAGATTAAGGTTAGTTTATTAACGGTTCTTTAATTTGTTCAAAGGTGGTGATAGGAAAGGACGGAAGTTTATCTGCAGTTGGTGGGGACAGTGGTTTCAGCTCTAACCATTCGTATCGCTGTGGGGGTGGTGGCGGCGGTGGAGTTATTCAGGTCTTTTCACTAACCGATATTAAAAACTACACAGCGAATAGTTCAACACGGACTAGTGGTGGACGTGGATTGCAGGGAGGCGAGGCAGGTCGAGAACAAGTAGCTTGTGAGTATCCGTTGATAGAACCCAAGTAGATAGACTGTATTCAGTAATTACTCAAATAAATTCCCACTCAAATAAGATGAGGACAAAATAATTAAAAACCGCAGCACCTTAATCTGAAGAATATGGCATTTAGTTAATGATTATGAGACAAAGAAAGGCAGTTACTGTACAACTTGGTACTTACAATTCAGCATTCTTGGAAATTTAACCATAAAAGCCAGTTATTGGGAATTGAAACATGGATTTGTTTTACATGATTTTTGTACAGATGCTTTAAGTTGTTTTTGTCAGTGATTTTTCAGAACTATGATATCATAAATAAACCCATCGGAAATGCTAAAAAATAACTACCACCGTCTTCAGTAAATTGATTAAATCAGTGATATATTTTTAGGCTCTCCTGTAATTAAAAGCGATTTGAGTATGGCGTGTTGCTTGAATGATTTGGTGAGAGATGAATCGATGCTACAAACAATATTGAATTTCCGTAAACATCTATTAGCCGAGAATGGTCCAAAACGGATCAAAGAATAACAACTCTATTTGGAATCTAATGTAACAGCTTGTTCAAGTTTGATTTGTACATACGTGAAAAGCACCTCAAAGAGGTTTCGATATACACAGGGGTAGAGGATGGAGGAGTTTGTAATTACGTTGATTAAACGCTGAAAAGCACGTGGAAACCATGTCTAAAAAAAAAGAAAAAAACAAACACGCGAATGCCATAGGATATGTGTTTAACTCCATTTCCGGCGCACGCTGGCCCGTACTTGTAGAATAAATGTATTAATTGAGGGCCTAGTTAATTCTTTCGTGGCCTGAATTCTAACCGTCTGAATTCTAACAGCCTTTATAGCTTTACGATTCAATTGCTTTTGTTTTCAAGAGGTTTTAATTAGGAACTCAATTTAGAAGCAACTGCGTTTATCACGGTTTTTTTTTTCTAGTGGTATCTTTTGAGAAAAAAAGTTGAAAGATAAAAAAATCTTTTTTTTTTTTATTTCAAACCGAAAGAGAGCCTAATGCGCAACAGAAATGAGCTCAGATGGCGTTAACCAATTGCGTTTTCGATCAATTTGCTGCAGTAAACGGATCAAAAGTGCAATCTATAGCTTAAGTAATCATACCCAGAACTTCTCGAATTTTGACTGATGCAAAAAACCAGGAAGCTTGCGGCTTGCATAAAGACCTCTTCACAGTGGGGTAACCTCGAATTCACCTCGGGCGATCCGAAGGTTATTTCGGTTTTCTCATCGCGTCAATTGAATCCTTATGTGATTAAGGTAAAAGGCTATTCCCAATCATCTGCAATGGTTCAGGTGAAACATTGTCCTACTCATTTTCGTACGGAATCGCACCTTCCTAGCATTCAGCTGGACGAACAAAAGCAATTTTCTCTTCCCGCCATTTGAATTTGTCTGCTGACATTACCTAGCCTGAGGCATTGACAAATTAGCGCATATGCTCAAACGTCCGAAAGAATGCGTTAGAGGATACACAACGAATATACTGTTTTTAGACCCCTTTAACGAAAAGACAATGTCATCGACCTCTCAGACAATAAGAGGTTAGGTATAACCGAAATTTTTGTCTTCCTAACTTACGGGCAGCGGGACACATCCACTCACGGCGATCTTTGAGCGCATAGAATTCCGTGTAGGAAACATGTGTCAAGGAGGATTTCTTCGCTTTACGTTTACTCTGCTTCTTGTTAGTTGTTTTATAAGCGAAAATCTTGGGTTGGATCCAATGTACCGTAAGTATTCTATTCAGTTCGTACCAATGTAAGTTTGCTATTGCTTCATGTACTTTGGACTATCGAATAAACATGCTGAGATGGCAGGCGCGCAAATCGCCTCAACTGTTCAAATAGGCGGTTTACGTGGTTCACCTAAAGGATGTCTGGTAAGATCGTGCCATAGTCTTTTGAATTTTACCTTGACTTTACGAAATATTTCACCTTCTGGCGATGGGTCCGTCGATTTAATAAAGAAAATTCTACATTTTGATAGACCCCAGCGGGACGCTTGTGATCTGAATTGTCTAAGATACGTGTATAAATCTCTCAGATAATGTTTGAGATGGACACCCACTGCTTACTTTTCATGGAACTTCTACCCAAAACTTTTTTTCAGAATCCTCTAGTCTGCAACATGTTAACATAAATTCTCCTCTTCTGTTGCGTTACTTTTCTGTTTTTCCTAGAGAATTTGAGGAATTATGCGTCGCGGCAGTTTATGAAACACTTTATACCGCCTTTGATGATTGTAATAATGATCATAAACTTTCTTAAGTGGATGCTAGACAGGGCAATGCAAATTAAAATTATTTCTTATCCTAACCTGGTAACAGTTCCATTATATTTGGCGAGTTCAAGTTATTAATTTTGTTATTGAGCTAGTAATGTGTGAATTATTTCTATCATTTATCGCGGCAAAACATATCAATTTTCTAAGTCAGCGTAAAAATAAAAAACTAATTGAATTATTCAATTGAAATTTAGTCAAGTTCGGTGTATCCACTTTCCAAATATGATTTGTAATCTATAGTTCTTCTTTTAAAGGATAAAACCTTTGTTGGTCTATTGCTTGAACTCCCAGACTACGGGAACAAAATACCGGTTATTTAGGCGCAAATTAAGCCAGTCACGGTCAAAACTGAGAAATCGAACATTAGGACAAGTTACCGAAATTGCTGACTCAATTTCCATTCTCAAATAACTACAATTTTTCCGTAAAATCGAGTCGTCTTCCAACACGACCCTTTGAACCAAAATGTATGCTTTTCAGACAATGTTATTTTTATCAACATGAAAGAGAAAAATTGGCTAATGAGTTCCATATTTGGCCGAGCTTTCATTGTTTTCTTATTTAATTCTGGTTAACCTTTACCAAGCTTAAACGCTTGCTCCTCAAGCGTGGCTCTCTAAGTTAAGCCTGAAGGATCACTGGGAATTGTTACGATATGATAACAATAGGAAGAAATAATCGTGTATGGTTGCTATATAATTTATACCGCAGAAACAATAGTTTAGTTTGACTTGACGTGGTTTCAGCTCGCTAAAATCGTAAAACTGAATGGAACGAGATGAGTCTAGGCGAATAATCGTGAGATCAAACGAAGAAAGCTCTCTCTACAAGTTTACGTTTACGTTTACGTACTAGTCTTCCTAGTTTACGTATTTGCGGCTTCATTCATTCATCTGCGTAAAACAAACAGTTTACGCCTCAGTCACGCTAAAATTCTCAAATTATTTGTTGTTAAGTGTACATTAACGAGGTATGTTAAGTGTTGAAAGTTTGGAGTGTACGACAGAGAATGAAAACATAGCAGTTCCTTGTGGCACAGCCAACCGCAACTCTATAGCTCCTTCACCTACAAATACTTGAGAGCTCTTCAACTTCTGAAGGACACAGATATTAATTTCCAGATTTTTGCTCTAAGACTTGTATCATCTTTCTCTATTACACTCCAAAACAATGAAAACAAATCTTCAATGAAAACCGGTGAAAACCCGTTACAGAGTATTAATCAGTGAAACACAATATGTCTAGTTTGGTTCCTCTTTCTTCCTCTCTCCCATAGTATTTTGTCGTCATTTGTCTCTTTTCTTGTTCACCTCCTCAAATTTAAGGTCAAGAAGAAAAAAATGGGTAAAGATGTGTCTTCAGTCAAATAGGACTGTTTTGATCTTTTTTGCTTCTTGGCGAGTTTGAAATGATTCTTTTCCATTCACTGAATTATATGACGAATTTGATTGGTAAAAATTGGTTGTATGGTTGTGGATAAGCTGTTTTAAATGTAATACCGCGATTTGCTTGCGAGCTGTTATATATAGAGCCCCGATACTCAATACTGAGTACTGAGAGAATTATAGCTAAGTCTGTTAAATAGCGACTCATTCAAGTGCCTCTGAAGTTGAAGTAAATTCAATTTTAATGTATGTATTTCACACCTAATCGTATGAAAAGCCGAACAGTAGAAAACAGTAAAGAGGTGTGGGAAGAGAGGGAAGGGAGAAGTTGGCCAATCCCACCAAATCCAAGCGTTTAATTGTATGATCATCATTCAACCTTGTCTTTCCGTATTCATTGCTTAATTCTCATTGGTTGACTAGAGTAGGTTAATGACCTCGAATATACAACTGCCATGAGCCACTGACATATTTTATCCGATAATTTTTTGCTGTTCATTTGATGTCGTTTTCAAGGTGTTCTGTACTTAAACAAAGATCAATCAGTTTAATAGAACTCTGACGGTTGTGAAATGAACTTCGAATCCTTTCCGCTACACTCGACTGCATTTCGTGCAGTTTTTGAATTTTTCGTTCTTTTTGTGCTGCTTGTGTTTATTGCCGTTTTATCTCTCATATCCTTTTCTAACTCTTAAGCATTACTTTTTACTCGTTGAATTCGAAGGTCCATGTATACTTCACAACGAGGCTTTTAGATTGTTTTAAATTCAAAACACGTAACAATGGAGAGTGAAGATTGCTTTGCTCTATTTATTCACCATATATCACCATCTAATGTCACTGATACATCGTTACTCGAACCAGAGCGTCATTTCTGCATTTCAGAATTTGAAATCTGCAGCTCGCTTTAGTTTTCTGCCAACGAACCAAAGATTACTAGCTACTAGTGGCAGTGTGAATATTAAAAATTACTGGAATGAAAAACGCGACTTCAAAATAACGGACAGGCGACCCAACTCAATAGGGATTAACAAAGAACTCTGAGCTTGGTTAGAAAGCTAATTAATATTGTCCATTTACGAGTGTTATGACATATGACCAGCGGAGTGTGGTTTTTATCAATTAATAGGAGAAGAGTTCACCTATGAGGTAAATAACTGGAAAATATCAAAGTGTACTTCTTTTGATCTCCTGTTGGGTTTATTGAGTCTTCCATCACCGGGGAGGAGTTAGGTCGGATTTTGTTCCTTTTTCTGATGATAAGTTAGCGCTGAAAACTAAGCACTTAAAATTTGCGTCTGACGTAAAATCGACCTTGTAGGAAATCGCCATCAAACTCATCGATCAATAGTTTCTATTGCAATCAAATGCTACCTGTGAAGCGTTGAAATATAAATATTTAATTGATTGATTATTTTCAAGTGCGATAGATATGGAAAAGGTTGTTTTCATATCTAAGCAGCTCTTGTAGACAATGATTTCCGGTTCTAATTGCGATCGAACGATTGTTACGTACATTAAAACTAAAACTGTGCCCATTCGTGAGGCCCCAAGGACCGTAACAAATTAAAAAATCTTATAATGTTAAATCATGATAATTCTTCTTTAAAACCATCATCAGCTACTATTTGATAGAAAATGCCTCAAGAAAAAAAAAAAAAAAAACACAAGTAAGATACTTGCTTTATCGTTTCCCGCCCACTTCCTTAGGCCTGCAATCTGCGTTCGTTGCATTTCTGTTAAGCGCATCAAACGAAGCGGTAGCGGATTGCAAGTGCGCAAAGCTCTCTGTTCATCTCACATGGTTCTTTCAAATAAATTTCACTCAATGGAGTTTTTGCCATATGTTTAGAGAATGCCATCGGTGAATGCATAATTGTGCGAGATGAACGAGCAAATGAAGACTACATGAAAGGGCGAAGAAAGGTTGTTATTGATCTGATGCAGTAAAAGATTTCAAAAATGAAAGAACTATCATTAATCGTCTTTCCATATGTGCAAATGATGAAAGTAAAAGGTATCATTCTCTTGGGAATTTTCATAATAGCCTTTTAACTAGTCTTTCCGCCTTCTACTACGTTACACACGGCTCGATGGAAGAGCATATTTTATATGAAATTGGTACCATGTATAAATAAAGCTTATGTATGTATGTATGTATGTATGTATGCATTCGTTGTTCCAAATATTATTAATGATAATGAAGATAATTGTAAAAATAATCAGTTCTTATTAGAGGGTCTCAATGGGGTGCTGGCTTTTACGGTTATCGGCTAAAATTTTGGCTCTTTTACGGCTATCGGTTAATTTTTTACAGTTACGGTTAACAAAAAAGTTAAAAATTAATTTCTTTGGTTCCAAAAGGTTAAATATTAATAAACCTGTGTTTTTTTAATCTTTAAAGCGAAATAAAGGTGTTATGGTCATCTCAGGCTTAAATGAGTTATTCTTTTGAAAAAATTTAATATTTGATAAATCATACCACTTCTAATATTATTTTACGCATAGAATTGTGAACTACGAAAAAGGATTCAATACAAGGCCATACACAACTTAACTTACGTCATGCATTCTTACATTTACTTGTAGGAGTGGTGACCTGTTTGTCCTTATATGGTGTTATATGC